TTTTAATACAGTAAAAAACAAAGTACGAAGTTAATTTCCATTAACTTCGTACATCACAACACATTGTGCTACATAACGGACAATTTAACAACATAATATAAATATAATTTCACAAAAAAAAAAATGAATCAAATACCTTCTCCATCGTTTTCCACCAATCGCTAATTACAAATATCCATAAAGACAACGAAATTAATAGCGTTAGTATGAATTTACAATAATACTTTTAAACTAACGACTAAAAATACTTACCCAATGAACGTAGTCAATTCTCAGCATAAACAGAAGCTGAAGCAGATGCAGAGGCAGAGCTTTTTTTTTTTTTTAAGTCTGCCTCTGCAATGGCAGAATCCAGATAATATGAAGAACTACCTCTGCAATGGCAGAATCCAGATAATATGAAGAATGGTTTTGCGCGACGAAGCCATATTTCGTTGCCCGAAATATTGTCGTGCAAAACCTCAATCTCATCGCACAAGTGTTCCGTTTCATCTCCCAAAATACATTTCTCATCCCGCAAGTTCGTGTCGACATCCAACGTTTGCACGACACAAAAAAAATTTCGTCGCGCAAAAGACAATTTTTGTCACGTACGAACGAGCCGACATCAAACTTTATGCAACGACATCAGCTTCCGTCACGCAAGGTTTGGGAGCAATTTCTTGCGCGACGATAAAGTTTGTCGTCGCACGAAGTGTTCTTTTGCAACGAGAGTTGTCGTCACGCAAGTGTTTGTCGCCAAATAACATAATTGACGGTTTTTATCTAACTTTATGCGACGAAAATATTATTTGTCGCGCTAAGATCTTTTTCACAACGATATCTGTTATCGCACAAGGATTTGGCGGCAAAAAAACATTCCCGCGTTTTTCTTCCTCCCTTTGCGCAACGACGAGGTTTTGTGTCGCGCGAAGTTTTCTTGCACAACGGAAAAGTTTTGTCGCGCACGTTTTTCACAGTTTGCGCGACGAATAGATTTTTCTGTTGCACAAGTGTTTCTTGCGCGATGATTGTGTCCTCGTCTAGCAAAGTATCATCGCGCAAATAGTAAAATATAGTAGTGGATCTAAATTTGGTAGGTGTCCCTAGCATTATTGTTAATACAATAAGCAATATGTTTATACAAAAACAGATTATATAAACTAGAATAAGATAACACAGAAAGATAAAGAATAGGACACTAACTTTATTTCCAGATAAAGGCTTGCGAATTGGCAATGTCCTAAAGACAAAATTTCGCCCATTCTCAGTACTTGAAGTTCAATGGACGTCTATCAACTAGGATTCAACCATCTATAAATCAAGGATCCATTCTGTGACAAACGTGAATGTGCTTCTTCTCCAAAATGTAAAGTAAAAATATGGTTTCTTTTTGTACATTGGAAATCTTGTAAGTAAGTATTCTGGCTATTGGATATTCAGCATTTATAATACTGATTTTACTCTTTGAAACCACAACAATTATAAACCTAATGTAATTCAAAATTAAATTGAAACCCTAGACACCTAAACAAAAAAATAAGTTAATTGTTTTTGTTTGGGTGTCTTAATTAAATTTCCCTAGAGATCTAAGGCCTAAGGCCCAAGTTTTTTATTAATATAATTATTATTAATCAAAGCCAAATCCAAAGCTAAGCCTATAGCCAAGCCCATTAGCCCAACTCTCCAAGGTTAACCACACTTACCAAACTAACATAGTACTTAGTTTATAAAACCTTTATAGAAGTGTGGATTTTCAATGTGAGACAAAAGTTTCTCATTTGGCTTTCAAACTCCATCATTTGGTTTATGGGAAAACAAGTTTGATAATGGGAAATCAACTCACGTTTAGTAAGTTCAGGGATAGGAAAAGATTTCCCAACACATGGGAAAATATGAGGGAAAATGAAACCCTCCATTCATGACCAATTTGTCCCCATTAACAAAGATTCTTGGTTTTATTTTTCCCTTATTTCTAACAAGGGTATAATTGAAAAACTAAAAAAGAGTTTGTTTTCAATTTCTACACACACCAAACATGGGAAATGAAATCAAATGATATTTCCTGGTTACTTTTCAAGAATTACCAAACATTTCATTTCCCATCGCATGAGAAAATACATGGGAAAAAACCTTAACCTCCCTTAAGCGCTACCATAAGGGGAGAGGTGGTGCTACCCATCCACTCTTCTCCTGTTTCCCAAGGTGAGCCAAGATACGCAATTCCCCCCTACATTAGAAGTCCATACCCATGTCATGAGTCCAGAATTGCATTCCCAATAGTGCACTTGACAAATATGAAAATGCAATTTGAAACCTATTTCCAAACTCCTTAACCTTAAACCAAATGGGCATTAGTATTTAAAATTTAAAATTTTCATTTATAATGATTGTGGGCTTTTTAATTCTGTTTTTTTTCCCTTCAAGATTTTATAACTTTTAGATATTCAACTCCAAAAACAAATAAGAATTTCTCTAAAGAACTCTATATAAGTATTTTTGATATTCAATTCCAAAGACATTTATTTATTTTAAAAATTTTCTTTTTATATTTAGCATGTGCGTTTTCTTAATTTATTATTTAGTTACAGTTACATGCTTCGTTACATTTCTGTGCATTTTTTTTCTCAATTATACATATAAAATCTAGTACATTTGAATTTGACAATAAATAAGTAAATAATTACACACACACATATATATATATATATAATTATGGGGATTAAGTCGGGGCAGATCTGTGAGGTTAAGTCGAGATCGGGGCGGGTAGGCCGCGAATCTCTGGGGGTTGGTTCGAGGTCTGGGTGGATATGGTGATGGGTTGGCTCAGAGAGAGAGAGATATATATATATATATATATATATAAAATAGGGGATTTTTTTTTTTAACTTCTAATTTTATATTTTTTTAAAGAATTTTTATTTTTTATACATCAGCATAAAAGTTGATACCACACTTGTCATGTCATCAAGTTAACAGAAAATCTAACGGCGAAGTTGATGGAGGGCATAATTTGGTCAAATTTAAAAATGTTAGGTATTAAATTGATGAAATTGAAACCTCATGGCCCATTTTAATACGGCATCTAAACCACAATGTGATAAAATATCGTTAGTCCAGGAAAAAAAAAAAGGTGTATGGGTTTTTACCCAAAAAGAAAGGTATATGGGCTTTTGCCAAAAAAAGAAAGAAAGGTAAGGGTATATGGGCTTTGAAGTTGGGTTTAGGGGAGTTAGGTTGTATGAGATATTGAAAACATATTATATATATATATATATATATATATATATAATCGGTTTGGTTTGGTGAGGGCTGAATTTTTGAGACACAAAATCAAAATTGAAACCATGTTGAATAGGTCTGATTCGATTTTTTACTTACGTTAATTTTTTAGTCAGCCTGATTTTGATCGATCCAATCTGGTTCAATTCGATTTTTCGATCTCAATGCCCACCCTTACTACTCACCTATATAGCCAAAACTTAATAAGTTTTTTTTTAAAAAAAAAAATTCGTAAAATTATGTAGGACCGAACCAAGAGCAAAGTCGTGTGTTAAAATCATCCCAAGAGATTTCTTCTATCTCTTATGCAGTTGGTACCACATGCCTCTTTAGGCTTGACAGAGCTGAGGACCAGGGCTAGATCTAACCATTGAAAATTTATATTTTTTTGGCAAATGAAAATATATTCAACTGTATGTACATTCAATTGCACATTATAGACTAAATTTAGTGCAAAGTATATAAACTAAATTATTTACAAATCATATTTTTTAAATATAAAACAAACGGGTTTGGCCGAGCTAGGACGAACCATACCACATCGAACTAAAACAAGCCAGATTGTGGACTGGGTTTAGGTTTTAAACCCATGATCCAAGTCGCACTGAAGAAAAAAAAATTTGAGTTGGAGCAGAACAGGCTTTGGCCCATTATCAGCCTGCCATCTTGAGCGGCAGGCCGTGATCCAAATGATGATCCTAAACAAGTCCTATTTTTGCAAGATAATGAGTTTGCCTTGAGACTTTAGGACTCAAAGCTTCTCAAGGCCCATTTTGCTCTAAAATTTGTAGAAATTTGATATATAAAGGGATGTATCAGTTCACATTGTTCATTACTTTAGCTAGTTGCCTAGTCTTTCCTGCAATTTAATTACTCTTTCAATCTCTTAAGCAATATACTTTTTATACAAGTGATATTGAGGGAGGGGGGAATGAAACCTGTGACATCGGTCATTGTGTGCATAATTAAATGTCTTTAATCACTTAAGTTACAAGCCCCTTATAAGCACTACAGTTAAAATAAAGCAAACTTATACTAATATGAGTTTAGCCAACGCAAACCATCGGTCTTCCAACAACGAGAGACATATATACATATATCTACATGTAATTATATATTAATTACTTTTGTTCACTAGTCTTTGTTAAATTCTTAGTTAATTATCCTCGAATTTGATCATTTATTTGATTTAATGTCTTTTACTTTTTATTTTATGTTTAGAAATGGTGTATCATGAAGCTATCCTCTCCTTGTGAAATATTGACTTCCAACCAAGAAGGAGCTTGTAACAGCATAGACTGCATGCCGCAGTTGATGGGCATTGCAGGGAAGGTGTGCTTAATACGGCAATCATATGCCTACTACAAGGATTAGGGAGCCTGGCATGCATAAATTTGGCGGTTCGGTATTTCGTTTTTTCTTTAACTATTTATTTTTTATTTTTTATTTAAAGGTAACACTGTTTTATTAGGAATTAAGTGAAAGATAATAAAATAACAAAATTAGTTAAATACCCATTCCTAGACATAAAACTATAAATAAATCATATACTATTTAATGTATATAAACACACCCAAAATAAACCCAAAAATCAACAGCTATCGATTTTTTCAATTCAACAGTTATATTGGATTACGGTTTTGTCCTTTTGCAATTTTGAGAAACAGCCGACTTAATTTTTTTTTATTTAAATATTTTATTTAATAACAATTATGTTGTAGATTGAAGAGGAATAAGAAGAAGAAGGGCATCGTGACTCGTGTAGCAGCTTGTGCGACTCTAGGCTCATCTTCTTCCACCAATCCTTTCGATGCTCTAGGCAACGCTCTTATCGGTTCTTCTTCCAAGACTTAGGTTCGTCATTCTTCCTCGTTGCTTCTTTTGCTTTCAATTTCTCTACTCCGTTTTGAATTTTCAATCCTCAAGGGCATCATTTTCTCAGGCTTTCGTTTGATTCACGAGCAGGACGGTCATGGCCACATTCTGCACCAGATCCGAGAGAAGGCTCACAAGGATGAGCTTAAGAAGAACGAAGAGACCATTTCAAGGTCAGCCGAATCATATTGGTATGATCTGGTTTGATTATCGCCGAAATCCGAAGCTCGTTGAGTAGTTTCTTTGTGATTTTGTGATTAATTTGAATATGTCTACGGTTCTTTCCCTTAGTTTTGCATTTCGTTTACAAATTGCGATAAATAAATTGATATAAAAAAAAATCTGAAAATTACTTGCTTGCTTATTTGTGTTAGTTCTAATATGATTTGTAATGTTGGTACTGTGTTTCTAGTTATTAGCAGAATGGTTGAGCATCTACATAAACATTTATTGTTTGTATGATGTACATGCTAAGCTACTGTTAGTTTGCAATTTTTGTTTCAGTCTTACCACTACTTTTGCTATTACAGAAGGATAATAATGTTGTTTTCTTGTTAAAATTCCTTTTTCAGCGGGTTGAGATTGGCAATCTGTGAGTCTCTTTGTTAGTTGCTGTTGGTTTTTCTGTTTTTTAAATTTTTACGCAGCTGCCCCTGGAACTTTTTCAGAGACGATGTTTACTTTCCCAAGCTGATGATTCTCTGGGCCCCTTTGTATCTACAGTCCTTCTTTTCCATAATCAGAAATTGCATTTTCTAATTCTCTATTTTCTCCCTTTGCATACACTTCGTTTCCCAATTAGCATGAGATATTTTGTGGTTCCATGGCTATGATGCTTTACCCAATATGTGTGATGGCCTTGCTTGCTTGCGTGCAAATGCATTTTGTCCTGATTTCGGTGCTATTCAAGGAGATGCTAGAAAGATGACATGTTTATCAAAACTTCAAAGTTGGTGTTTCATTAAACACACTGAACTAAAATTAGTCTCTTTCTTGTTCCTTGCATCTTGCAAATTTTGCCGTCTTGTTTTGAATGCAAAATGATAACTCTCTAGTTACTAATGCTTTATTGAATCAAGTTCCTGAAAGACATATCAGGTAGTGATATGACTTTGGGTTTCCTATTATGGTTCAGATATATGGTTTTTGCTAAGTTGCTTATTCGGTTTCTAATTTTTATATATACATATATATTTGAATTTCAGGGGTCAATTTGGCTACTGGGCTGTTTGATGAAGTACTGCTCTATGCTACGAAATCGTATGCTGGCTGATCCTTCCTTTCTTTTTAAAGTTGGGACAGAGGTTTGTTTTCGTGATCTTTCTTTTTGGTAAATAATTTTTTTGAGTAATTTGTGTTTCAAGTCAAGGGACTGTAAATCATTAGTGCTCGTGAAAGAATTGTAACTCTGCATTTTTCATTGTAAATATTAGTAATTGAGTTTGTGGGTCATTGTTTGCATTGGTGATAGTCCTATGAATTCCATTAAACATACCTTGCCATCAGATTGGACCATTACATTTGATAGTTGTTGATCTTGTTGAATACTAAATAAATTTCTCTTCCTCAACTCTTTTGTAATGCAGATAGTCATAGATTCTTATTGTGCAACATTTGCAGAAGTTCAGAAAAGGGGAAAGGATTTTTGGGCTGAGTTTGAGTTGTACGCTGCTGATCTTTTGGTTGGAATAGCTATTGACATTGCTTTGGTTAGCATGTTGGCACCCAATGCTCGAATTTGGAAGGCCATCAGTATCACAAGGATTATTTGGAGGTTAACAACTACATCATTTTATTTGCATAATATATAAGATAAAAGTGTACAACTCACAACCATTCACTTGAAATTTATGATATGCAAAATGTGATTTTTACTAGGAAGATGGTTCTATGACATAGTATTAACAATGTACTTCTATGATGTAGTATTAACAGTGTACTTTTTTTTTATTTTTTTATAGAGGTATCTTGTTATCACTAGTATTCTTCGCTACTGGGGCTGACAAGACAATGCTGATCAGTGATGCTGGAAAAGTTTATGCCTTTGGAAAGGACTTAAGATGGTTTTAAGACATAGTAATAACAAGATAGTTCTATGACATAGTATAAACAATATACTTTTATGAAATGGTATTAACAATGTTGTTCTATGGAATGGTATTAACAATGTACTTCTATAGAATGATATTAACAATGTACTTCTATGACATGATATTAACACTGTACTTCGGGCTTGTTGGGCTTGTTTTGGATTTTTTTTGAGTTTTTTTTTGTAGTTTGGCTTGTTTTAAGTTAATCAATGGCAGAGGTGAAATTTATAGTAACTTCAACACTCATTTCATATGTAATAAATGGTTTTTGGGTATGTTTCTAAATTGAATTTCATGTAGGCTTTTTTTTTATATAATTTCAGCCCCTTTTTTGGGTGTATTACTAAAACTCCCATAATAAAATACATGTGGGATCAATTTCGCACTTACATATTTTACTATTTAATGATCTGTATTACATAAGGTTTAATTTGACTAATTGAGTTATGTAGGGATCTTTTTGTTCCAACAGCCTGACGAATGGGCTTGGGCTGTTGTAAGAGGAAGACAAACAAAATTCCCCCAGTGCCTGAGTTCAAGAACCAAGCTCCCAAAAAGAGTTTTGGAAAGTTTGCTGAAACTTTAGAAAAATACTTTTAGGTTCTTTTTACTAATGACCAAATGAACGTGACAAATTGATAAGTGACTTGGCTTGAGGAGTTTGTGCCATAGGAGCTAAGCTTTCACAAGTTTAGCAATTTGAGAGAGAGAAGAAGCATGAACTTCTTACAGAGAGAAAAAGTTCAAGAGGTTAGGAAGATTTCTATCTCAGGAAGAGAGAAAACAATGGAAGTAGAAGATGGAGTGTCTTTAGTAAATTTCCAGTTGCTTGACAAAGCTTGGTCATGCTCTGGATCATGGTTTTTGCTGGGTAGAGAAAGCTCCCTTTTATAGACACTTAGAACCCTAATTCTATAGATCCTCCATTCCCACTTTTCCTTTGCTTTTTTCCATTCACTCATTTTTGGTGAAATTTCTTTAACCAGAGCGCATGGGTCACAGACACTTTGGGGTTCCAAGGTTTTTGCATGGCTGGACCTCCCCCATGATGGTGAGGCGTCACTTGCTTTCTTCCTTGCTTCTCAAAATATAGCTCACAGAGGAAAAAAGAATGGGTGGAGTCGTTTGTCCAATGGGTACTTCTGTTACACATATGGATATCCTTTGGTTCCTACAATGGCTTCTCGTTGACTGTTTTTGGAGTTTTGACAAGGGTGGAATACGATGCTAGATTTTACAAGGCGCTGGGGTAAGCTTTGTTTACAGTATTGGGTTATTGATACTTTATTTCCAACATCTAATGAGTTTTTGTCAAGCTGCTGGAAGTAGTCGATTTGTTTTATTTTGGGCATTGAATCTCTTTTTTCCCTCTCTCATGCTAACCCATGTGTTTGGGCCCGAGGAATAGGCTTGAGTTTTATTGCTCCCAAGTGGCATAAAACTTTCATTCCTGGAACCCTCAATGGGCCCTATGATTGCTTGTTCCCGTCCATACCACAACCTTCTCAGCAAGCCTCGGGTAATTAAGTGGCTTGGGCCCACTTAAATCTGTAGCACGGCTTGGTATTAAATAGTGGTCCTTTACATGGCAATGCGTGTTTATTTAGCATGCTTGTGCTTGAGTTTTATCGTGTCGCTATAAGCTATAATCGGACCATGTAACATTGGATAGATTAGTAAGCATGAATTTATAGAGCTGGTGCATTTTGGCCCTTTTGTGTGGTGGGCGCGCACGTTTGGCTTGGCGTGATGCCTGGCCCATGGCTTGCACAGGTGCGTCCTGTAAATTGTCTTATGTCCCAATTGGGCTCCTTTTGTGATCAATTATTTGTGCTGGGCTAATAATAAACCTGGGCCCAACCCTTGGATTTTTGAGTCTCAACAAGTTCTATACAACACCGGCTTGGATTTAGGCCATTTTTACGGGCCTAGCAATTGATCAGATTTAATCCATAATCACCTAACTTATTTGGATATTCATTCACGAGTTTTTATCAAAAATAGCTAAAATTTAACCCCCAAATTCATAAATGTGAATTTTTTAAAATACTTTCAAATGTAGCCAAAAATTCACTTAAATTGACCCAAATGCCCTCTAAATTATAACTTAATTACAACTAAAAGCTAAAACCCAAAATTGCAGGAGCACAAAAACAAGATTGGCTTCGTCAACTTAATCATGCCTTTGAATCCTATTATAAAAATGACAATGTAATTACCAAAAAGAAGAAGAGACGTAACAGCTGATGTTTTCATAAATCCAAGCAATAAAATTCATCTTGCGACTATGGCTTGATTCGTGGGTTTGGGAGTTTTTTACAATAAAAAAGGTTAAAGTCAGTTTCTTGACATAATAATTTTTAATTGAGACAAAAAGTTGAACTTTCTCGCAAAATTTGTATCATAAATGCTGCTAGTCTGCATATGATATGAGGGTTAAACTTTCTTGCAAACCATCATATGTGCTGTTGCCTTCCCTCAACACAAGATGTCTAGAAAAATTGCAAGGCCCTCGCTGTTCATAGACTATCTTCTCACAACACAAACTTGACTATATTAACTTTGCTTTCCATTAAGGGTGATTGGCGAAGGGCAGTGTCCTTGTGTTTGAGGGTAGGCTGGGTGGAGAGTGAGGCTTGTGCTCAGTAGCTTACGGCTTGGAAGATCATGCTTTTTGGTTAGGTTTTAATTTAGAGGGCATTTGGGTCAATTTAAGTGAGTTTTGGACTATATTTGAAAGTTTTAAAAACAAACTGACATTTATGAATTTGAGGGTTAAATTTTGACTATTTTTGATAAAAACTCTTCATTCACCCACAAATACAAAATAGTTGAATTATTGTTGAAATGGTACTTTTTTTGTTGGCTTTGGCTAAGCATTTATGTCCCTATTGGACTTTGGTCCCTCCTGGTACGCTTTTGTTTTGGGTTTTTAAAGGGATTTTATTTTTGTATTTTGTAAGAGCATCCGTAATAATGTCATCTATTTCTTAGCTAAAATTTAGCTAAAAATATAAGAAAGCTATTTTAGGAGCTCTCTAAAAATTTTCAAGTCCAACCATACTCCATAATTTGGAGAGTCATAAATGCTATAACTCTTTTTTGATTGGTCCATCTCTATTAAAAAAAAAAAAAAATAGTTAGCATTAAATAAAGGTTTGAAATACTCATTAAATAAAGGAGCATTAAATTATAGGGAGTCACTAGGAGTCCTTTCTCTCTCCTCAGATTTAGGAGCTCCTAGAGGACTCCCTATTTTAGGAGATGGATAAGGAGCATGGTTAGAGTTGCATTTTTATGATTCCTCCCTAAAATTTGTTTAAGAAGATGGTTTAGGGAGCCCATTGTGGATACTCTAAATCTTTGAAGGTCAAAGCCATCTGCAAACTATTAATTGAAGAAAAAAGCTTTTGACATGTGTTAAAAAAATTAATTTTCTTTTTACTTTTTTGTTGAAACTTTTTCAATGTTGTTGAAATTAGACAAGGACACCAAAACCCGATTGGTTTTAAAGAAGAGCTCCTTCTCAATTTTAACGAGTCAAGTCATGCTTGTCTCTATTTAAGAATAGGATAATGTTTGACTCAAAGAAGAAAAAAAGGAATTCCTGAAATAAAGATGTGACCAAAGAAAACAAAATTACAGCAAGAAGAAAAAAGAAAGATGTGACCAATTGAAAATGAACACATGTCCAAACAATGAAAAAAAAAACTTAAAACTAAAATCAAGAGGCAAGAGCCCACCCCACCCCAAAGTCGAAGAACTGTAAACTTTTATTTATTTATTGTATAGACAGGTACCCGTTTCACAATTAGCCACATCTTCATTTGAAGAGGAGTTCCTCCTCTTCCTTCAGAAGGCAATCATTATTCTTAAAAATAAGGTTATGTTTTGCCAATGACGCCAAATCCTACTCAAAGATGTGCTCATCCTCTGGTTCTATTGCTAAGTTTTAGTGTTCATTTTCATAGATTGTATTGCGAACTCTTTTCTTTCTACATTTGGTCATTTCTTCTAAGTGTATTTGGCGTTTTGCTTTGATTTATTGTGGTTATGCCCCTCTTAAAGAACAGTGTGTGTATAATAATCCTCCAAGGAAATTCAATGCTAAAATAAATGGTACATAAATTGATGTCTTTTCAATCCTAAATTGTGTGTTAATTATATAATGTGTCAGCTTTACTTTTGTGTTAGTGAATTGGGCTACCTTTCTTGGTCTATTTATTTTATTAATTGCTTCTGTAGATCCTAGTAACTTTTTATTTTTTGCATTGATTTATTGTAACATTCTATACAATATGTGTGTGTGTGTGATTGTTTACTATATTAATATCTAACTGAGTTTACTTAAGACAATATTTACATTCTTATGGCTAACTATTGAGTATTTTAAAATTATGCTCTTCTCCTAGTAGTATATAACAAAATTCTTTTTAAATAGGGTCTAGCCAAGAAAAAAGAACCTTGACTTATAGTGTGTGTGTGAGAGAAACTAGAGGTGTCAAATGGGTAAGGCCAGCCCAGCACGACATGAGCCCAACCCATTTAAATGGGGCACGACACGACTCAAATACGATTATTGGATGAACGTGCTAGGCACGACAAGAAAGCATGGGCCGTGCTGGACTTGAATAAAGTTATTGTGCTAACATGAGTTTAAAAAAAAATTCAAGTTAAATGGGCCAAACAGGGCCTAGCACGAGCACAGCCTGTTTCAATATGGACTTGAGCTTTGAGCTAGGAAAGGATTAATAGTTTTTTATAAATGGATTGACACGAGCATAGCATGGCCCAATTAATTAAATGGGCCGGTCCAGTTCATTTGACATCTCACAATGAATAAGTCCACAAAAATTTTTGAAGTACCAAAAATGGCCATCACCTTTTGGAGTAATGACCAACAGCTGGAAACTTAAGGACATGACCCTTTTTTTTTTTTTTTTTATTAATGACCATTCCCTTCCATCAAAGAAAATACTTGCCTTTGGAAGTTTCCTGTCAATCACAAGTTGACATGTGTGTAGAGATTTTTTATTTGATGTTTCTGATGAATTATTTTTACATTTATGTCAAACTGTGATTTGTAGGAAATAGAAATGCCTCCTTGAGAAGGAGGGAAGTATCCATCAAAAGCAACCACTTTTTTGTAGTAATAATTAGACCAGTACAGCAAAAATTTTGCAATTAATCTGTAATTTAAAATTTAGATTCCCATGTAGGGTTACAGTTATGCCGATGTCGATAGAATTATTAGATGAACATTTATGTAATCTTAGCACTTTGTCCTGTCCATAACTATGCAGAGCATGTAGTTTGTAAGCATGTTGAGAAGAATACATGTACATCTGCATGCTTACAAACTGCAGTGGGATGTAGTCCTTGCTCAGAATGGACTGAGATCAATAAAAACGCTTATCCCAAAAGTGATTCCTAAGACAGTATTCCTAAACACAAACCCAGGTTAGTAGCAACAAACTGCATAGAATAGAAGGGAATATCAGGTCAGTAGCAAGGTAAATAAACCTCGAGTAACCACAAAACATAAATATGAAAATGAAACGATTCATCACATACAAAATAAACTGTTGAAAAAAAGAACTGTATATACCTTGAGATCCGATGGTCTTGAATCTGCATTAGAACATAAGTCTCAATATAGAGATGGAAGGGAAAGGGAGGAGCCGCTGGAAATCATTGGAATGGGCGGGCTTGGGAAGAAAACATCAACAAGAAAATTTTCCTAGTGATTTTCTTTCATCCCAAACAGCCCATTCCCACAATTCCCAGTAGCTCCAATCTCCCTTTCCCTCCTCTCTGTCTCCTTCTTCTTGTTTGTTTTTGGTCATAGTGCACATCCTCACCCCTTTATATACACCAATAGACTACCTCCCCACCTACCAAGTCTAGTCTCTAGAACAATCTATTTTGCAATGTGGTCCTTATATTTCTTACTATTTATCCTTCGGGTACTTAGAGCATCTACCATCATACTTTCTATTTTTTATTTAAAATTTAGCTCAAAATACAGAAAAGCTATTTGTGCTCTTTATAAAATTTGAACTCCAATCATACTCCGTAATTTAGAGAAGTCATAAATAATTTTGAATTTTTCTCTTCAAATACGTACAAGAATTTTTATATAATATGTCAGATTGAAATGCACCTATTTCTGAAAAGCCGTAATTATTTCTTATAACCGTGTGAAAAGGAGTTGGAAAGGCATCTTTAAAGAACAACTCCGTGAAAAGGAGTTGGAAAGGCATCTTTAAAGTCATTTTGTTTTTTCTTGAACGTGAGCGTGGTGAATACGCAAACTAAAACGACCTGTAGTAAAGTTAACCTGTCAGTTGCATGCGCATGGAATAATTTTTTCAAAGGGTAACGTACGCCATCAAATATTCCCACTTTGAGCGAATCATATGCCCACTTCGTTTCAGTTTTTGTTTGTTTTGCCTTTTTCCTATTATTAATTAAATAGTGTTTGCTTATCCGTTAATGCAATAATGCAAATTTGTTGGCCTAAACAGTGAGTTAATCCAATCAAGTTTGATCTCTATTTTTGTAATTTAAAGTAGTTTAGACCATCGATTGTATAAAGAAAAAAAAAACTTTTTTTCTTCTTAATATTGAAAGATGTTCCAAATTCGAATCCCCTCGCCATTATTGATAGAGAAAACTTCTTAAAGTTTTCCAAAATGATGTATTCTTTACTTGTATTTTCTACAATTTTGTATCAAGCTTGTTTGTTTGTTTTTTTTAATGGAACTATTGTACAAAATTGATTGCTATCCAATATTTAAAGGGAAAAAAAAAACGACGTCAATAGAGTCTAATCCAGTGAAAAAGTGCCATAATTTACAGACTAGTGGTCTTAAGTTTGAGCCCCACCACCATAGTTAGTGTGTGTGAGAAATTATCACTTGTACTCAAAAAAGAATGTTAAAAAATAAAAATAAAAATTGGTTGTAGAGATGTGGGCTGGATTTGGCCCAAAATGATCAAATGGGGTTTCTAATGGGGGGGATTCAGCCTAGCCCAGATGGAGACTATGCTCTATTATATGATCTGAACCCAAGCTCAAGCCTGTGTTGGTGTCGAATATATTCAAGGAGAGTAACAAAGATCATCATAAGCTTCGTGCAACAGAGAAAAGAAACAATTGAACTTGAGAGCCAGAACAAGTGCAAGCTCAATGGCACTGGTACCATCTTAACTGTATGAGAAAAAGGAGAAACAAGAGAAGGAAGACAGGAAGACATAGAGACTTTTCTATTAGAATGATTCGATTCAATTACACATTGATGTGATACTGGTATTTATACCTGAACTAGTAAGATTACAATGGAGTATTCTCTCATGACCAGCTCGAATTTTATGTTATTACTAGAGATTAGTTTCTGTTGAGAACCACTCAATCCAAAAGAAAACTTGAGAAAACAATACCTCCAGGAAAAAGAGCTTGCGACTTCATCCTGTTTCGCTTGTTTTCGATCACTGCAAGACAAATAATTTAACTGTCAAATAATTCCAACAATAGATACTTGAACGCTTATATAGTGTTAGCTAGACTGGTGATGAAGTACTAGTAGTGGTTGAAAGTCTGGAGATAAAATAGTAATATTAATTAGCTATGGAAGTTGGAACCTAGAGTCGTCTCATTGCGTTTCAATCCTTCATCTTCTTCCCCTTCTTCTTCTTGAAAACCCTAGCTTCTTTTCTCTGTTATGATGGTAGCAGCCTAAATATGTAGGGTACATGGATTTTGGTACCTAATTTAGGGAATAAGAACATTGTAGGTAGTAACCGGATATACAAAATCAAGAGGAACTCTGCTGGTTCAGTGGCCAGATACAAAGCTCGACTTATGGACTTAAGGCTCAGGGGGTTTAGCCAGGAATCGGGGTTCGATTTTGGGGAGACTTTTAGTCCAGTAGTTCGACATACAACAGTGAGGTTGATTCTAAGTCTTGATGCGACGATCCAATGGAAATTAAGGAAACTTGATGTCAAGAATGCCTTTTTGCATGGAGATCTTGAAGAGTAAGTTTTCGCGAAGCAGCCACCAAGTTTTGAAGATCTTATTCATCCACAGTTTGTTTGCAAACTTCAGAACTCTCTTGTTTGAAACAAGCTCCAAGGGCATGGAATGCAAAATTCACAGGTTACTTACCTACTCCGGGATTTAAATCATCCCATTCTGATCCAAGCCTCTGTGTGAAACATGTTGAGAATGAAATTGTGGTTCTGTTATTATATGTTGATGACATAATATATACTGGATCGAGTGATCAATTGGTTCAAAGTGTTATTACTGAATTGAGTGCAGTATTTGAAATGAAGGATATATTAGAAGACTTACATACTTTCTAGGCCTGCAGATATCTTATGGCTCATCAGGAGACATATTTTTGAACCAAACTAAATATGCTAAAGATCTGTTGAATAAAGCAGGAAT